ACAGCTGAAAACTTTTCCCTCCATGTTAATTGTTGGACATCGACCTCTGAATTTGAATCCTCTTCAATCAGTTGGGTGAACTCAACATGGGTACCCTGTGACGTTGTCAGTTCCTTATTTGGTAGGTTAGACTTTCTTTTTATGTACCAGGCAAGAAGAGGGTAAATAGGCAASAGTACCAATAGAATTTGCAATGCTATAGATGGTTTGATGCACGCGAGTGTTGTCATACCTATAATTAAAACAGTGTTACAATTAAAGAAGCCCTAGTGTTCATATGATGGTASCAATCGTTCCACGTCGTGTACATTCCCATTATTCTAGTTTCACATTTTGGGGCGATTGGAACGTTTTTTGGCGATGGTACAGACACTAGATTTTAAGGCCATGTGGTGTAAGTGTTTTTGTATAGTTTACAACATGAGCGGCCGTGTTGTATGGGAATTACAATCTCGAGCCGCAGGCGAGAGATTGTAATTCCCATACAACACGGACGCGAATGTTGTAAACGACTTATAAAACTCCAACACAAATTAACATGAATTACAGTGAGATAAATGACGAAAAATGACAAATAAGGTAACTGCTGAGTTTAGTCCCTATTAAGCATGCGCAATTTACTGCAACACAGAACATTTTGAATAATTATCCATCCCACATGGAAAGCAAGCCATCTGTTGCATAAGCGAGTTCTGTTATCCGTCTTTGATTGCTTCAAAACCTAGTGAAGGTCTATGTTGCGACACTAAAACTGAGACCTTTGCTAGTGTTGGGTTGTCTCAATGGTGACGACCGTGTTGTAAATCTGATACAACCACTAGTGGTTGTATCAGATTTACAAGGTCAATCACCTGATTAAATGGTCAGCCCTTATTGGAGCAATAGCTTATGCATTATTAATAAGTTTTATAAAGTTAAATATCTTTCTTGAGTGAACTTTAGGCTAAATGAGTCTGAGGGAAATTCAGTTTAGCTGATTTATATCCAGTGATGCTTGACTTATAAAGTATTTAGAATATATATAAATATAAATACCTGACATGTACAAAGTACTGATCATAGCCCCCAAACCAGTACCACATGYAAACGAATGAATTGTGAAGTCTTGATGAAGTGACGTTGCAGAAAGAAAGCCAATTTCTGCAGTCCCAAAACCAAAGGAAGCCACAACAACTCCAACCAGCCGAATCACTGGTGTTGAGATAAGTGTAATAATCAAGACTCCAGCGCCCAAAAATACAGCTGAAGCTACAGCTTTGTTCATAAGTGATAATTTATCGATATAGTAAGGCAATATTAAAGTCATTGCGAAATAAGGTATGCTAAAACACATGATAATTGAGGCTGTGACGATATTTGTAGATGCTAGAATGTCTTGTGCAGAGATAAGTATAGCAGTTGAAAAAATATACGTCGTCACTGCAAACCCAAGAAAGCCAACAACATCAGAAGTCATTTTTGGTAAAAGTTAAACTTGAAACTATGTTCTGTTTTCTCCTGTATCAAATCTTCTTGGTGCAATYGGCCCACAATGTCTCGAAAGAAGCGGCTTTCCACTGAGTGAGTGAATTCTTCTCAGTTTGCTTGTACCAGAGCGTGAATAAACTTGATTATCCAGACACTATAGATTCTTGGCTGAGTGTTGAGTTGCCTGGTTAACTCTAGTCCTGAAGTTGATGACAAAATCGTTATCTTTGATTTTCTACACGTTTAATGTATTATAATTCTTATTCGCTCCCCAGCTCAACCGAATATAAATCATTTATCATTTAATACTACACAGTCTTCAGGGGAGTGTTCACACGATTGCCTGTGCGCATATTTTATTGAACTCAACTTGACACAAAGAACGACAGTTACGAGTGTACAACAATAGACATAGACTTATTAATATGTGTAGATATGCTAAGCGATGGACMAGAAAAATARATAAAACAATAAGTAAACCCTAGCATAAACCTAACACTGATTAATCAACTTATAAAATTTGCACGACGCGAGACGGTCGTTGAACGCGAATGAACTATTTCACAACTTCAAAACCTTAAGTACTAGCCTCTAATTAACTACACCGTGTAACTGGTTAGTACATAACCCTTTACATTCCAATATGCATAGTTTGTAAACAATGATAAATACATTAGTTGTTGAATAAGGTCGATATAAGGAGAGGATAAATTCAACCATCCAAAGTTGATAATATGCTGATACGGCCGAAAGAGCCGACTATTGTCTGTACATTATGCAGATTCTACGATGAAGTTCATTGGGGTCATTGGATGCAAACGCATCCCTAATCTCCTAATACACTCACACCGGTTAGTTACTTTATTGTCGGATCAACTAATGGTGCACCCCCCCTTTTACACGACTTTTATAATGACCAACACTAATTAGCATATTATCAAATGAAAACACTGGTAGATATCAAAGCCAAAGATAAACTCTGAAAGTTTCAYAGAAAAATATTAAATCCTCTTTAAGTTATAAGAGTTAGAAGAGGTACGAAAACACCAAAACGAGGCTACCCAGTCACTAGCAAAGAATTCTGTACAAATGCATGTATTGTTATTCCTCCATAACTTTGTTAGTATGTATAGTCCATGGCTTCAAAACTTTCCATGAATTCCTATAGTTCTCTCATATGGCAGTGTTGATTGTTTCCATTATAGTATAAATTGTATWAAGTCGATGGTAGGCACTTATGGAAGTAAGCTATATATTTATATGTAGGCACGTATGGAAGTAAGCTATATATTTATGTTTAGGCACTTATGGAAGTAAGCTATATATTTATGTTTAATTTTTCTTTACAGCATCATCATTTTACAGAAGAGATTCAAACGCGGCAATATCGATGTCTCGAAGTATTAATAGGTGCAAAGTATGGCCCTCCTTCAGATATCTGGAGCACAGCTTGTATGGTAGGTTAATGGTTTGATACACTATTTATTCTGACGTCTTTAAAATGATAGGTATAGCATGATGGTAGTGGTAGTCCTCGCACTTTTCATAGTCCTTAAAATATCTACTTAAAAGTCTTTTTTACATATTGTTTTTAGAAACGGCACAAATTCTTCTATTTTTGCTTAGATAAGGCAAAAGCTGGTTAGGGGGACTCTTTTAACGGATATAAAAAAGTACTAGTACTACAACTACCATCATGCTTTGCTGCACAAAATGGCGTCGCTGCAAATTGCCTATTTACAAATAACAACGATTGAACTCCCCTTCAAAATAAAGAAAGGAGAAAATAATGTGACTGATTATCTACCAACATACGACAAATAAAGTAGTTGTTTTATTATTAAAATGAATATGGAGGGCTATAACATCGAAGTGAAATAATACAAATGTATTTTGGTTGCCAAAGAATCATTGAGAAACGAGAAAACTAATTGTTGGAAAATGTAAGGGATTTTAAGCGGGCGTATTTCGATATTTGATATGTTGAATAGCCGACTTTAGATATTTTGGTTCAGTGACCATGCACAAAAGAATTGCAGATGAGGCTCCGGGGAAATAAAGAATAAAACGATATTATACGCTCTTTGATTGGTCATTTTGAAGCGTGCACTTCAAAATAACTCTTTGCAATATTAAAAAAAAAAAATTATCAATGGATAATCTTGATTTATTCTTTATTTCCCCGGAGCCTCGTCTGCAATTCTTTTGTGCATGGTCACTGAACCAAAATATCTAAAGTCGGCTATTAATTTGGTTTTAAAATGGTAGTCAAGGGCACGATGTGACACACCTCGAATACGCTTTTGTGCACGGTTAACCATTTCATGTACAATGTGAACGCTCTTTAAATGACCCTGTAGAGAAGTGCACGTGAAACAAGATGGTGTTTTTTAATACAGGCGTTTGAGTTGGCCACGGGAGATTTTCTTTTTGAGCCACACTCCGGAGAAGACTACTCAAGGGACGAAGGTTGGTGTTTACATTCTCTCTTTATCTCATTAATTAGTACATTTATTTCGCTCATTTCATTCATAGCATTGGGTAATTATAAAGGCCGGTATATACTACAACGTAATCAGAAACAYAAATCTAGATTTTTCCTTGAAAAGTCCTTATGGTCTACTAGATTGTCTTAATTGTAATGATCTCTATGTCATTCAGTAATTTTTGCTGATCTTCCGTTTTRTTTTTGTGAGCTCAAAGCAAAACCAAAGATGGCGATTAGAGACTCGTTTGTGTTTGCTCGTACTGACGGTCGCAAAATATCTACAATATATTTTCTTGCAAAATCTGCCATAAAAAGTCCGTGAAAAGTCCTTATTTTTGGCTTCAAGTTTTACGAACCACCTTAGGYCTATGAAAGACTGGAGTTTCATGTTAATTAAGCTGTGTTTGATTTTTCCAGATCATCTCGCTCATRTAATCGAACTTGTTGGAAGAATACCGCGACATATCGCTTTATCAGGAAAATATTCCAAAGATTTCTTTAACAAAAAAGGTAACGTACAGAWGCTGTTTGTTATTCCTATAATGACGTCATGCTTGGCGCAGTGCATCATGGTATTGATCAAAATCAAATGAACARTGAAGTTAAATGCGATGCGCACGCAATAGATTAGAGGATGTCTGCTGTTCGCAAACAGCCTGAAAGAACAGAAACAAAACCGAAAACAAACAACATTTGTTTATACTTTCCATATCAAACAATTGCTTCAGAGAAAAATTCATTCGTTTGCCAAACTTTTGCTKACCATATATGGTAATCTTACCTTATAAGGAAGTACGTTAGAAAGTTTTTTTTTCAAGTTTTTTTCCACCTTTTAGTGCTTTAAAATGGCTAAAACTTACAGAATTTGCAGAGAAATTACTTTTCAACATGTCGGCCATTTTAATTTTGTCCTAGTCCCCTCCCATCCTTGAAAATAAGGGATCCCACAAAAAACACAGGTAGCCCGCGCGAATGTCCCATGGTGCATCTCGCCAACATCATTAGAAGAATTACCATACATCTAAATAGTTATTGTATTACCTCGCATATTATTTGTAAATTGACTTAATACGTTATCTTATTCCAGGTGAATTAAAGCATATAACAAAGTTACGACCCTGGTAAGTCTACTGTTGGTATATCAATCCATAACGAAACAAATGATAACCTAATTAATTACTTAAAGGGTTATGATCAACCAGCATTCATTGCGGTCGTGCTTTAAATTGTTCATATATGGAAAATAAGGTTACTTCGAATATCCATTCGCTATTTGTTCCTATCCGTCGGTTGAAAGGTCGAATTTTACAATATCTCCATTCATAGAGCCGAAAGGGTTAATAAAGAGGAAGTTTTATGTTTATATTCACGACTTCAAAAATGGTGCGATATCTCACGGTCGCCCTGGGGACGAAGCACTTAAGCGAGGTCGCAAAGGGCATCCTCCTTCGACGGTGTCTTGCAAGAGTGTTTGGTTAAAAATAACATTGGATACCAATACATCTTTCAAACTTGGACACCACATACATTCGATCTTCGTAGTAAATTCTAGATGGATGACCTTGGAGATCTCGTTCTCACAATTCGCCCTTTGGAAAGTCGTATATTACAATGTATTTTGATTGTCTAAACAAAAGGACGTAAGGGACGCCGGTTAAGTTTGGACTCAACGCCAAACTCATGAACAAATATACTAACGAAGTGTAAAGTATATTTATTTTCCTATTTGAGAATCATTAAATTCCCACCTCTATTTTATGAATAAGAAAATATAATTGATATGTTTTACATCCACAGGGGTCTATTCGAGGTCTTGACAGAAAAATACGAATGGTCCAAACAAGAAGCTACCGAGTTTGCATCGTTCTTGATGCCAATGTTGGACTACAACACAGAAAACAGAGCTACTGCAAAGCAGTGTATAGAGCATCCCTGGTTGCAAGAAGTTCAATAGGCTTTTAAAATCTACATTGTGTCCATTTAGTCCGCCATTTTGGATTTTCGTACACAATTCTTCATCACCCGAAAATAGTGTCACAGATATTGCGTGACGTCTCTTGTCGTCCGGTGGTTACTAGGCAATGTACAGCGCCGCCATTTTGTACAGCAAAGCATGATGGTAGCTGTTGTCCTCGCACTTTTTTAGCGGCTAAGAAATATCTCTTAAAGACGTTTTATTTTTATTATTTCTTTATAGAAATAGAACAAATACTTCCCTTTTTAAAAGAAAAAGGAAAAATGCCTAAGGAGAACTGATTTGGCGAATATAAAAATATTGCAAGTACTGAAAAAAATGGCGTCGCTGTACATTGTCTATTTTATTGTCGTCATGTAACGCGATTTGTTGAAGTGGACATTTCGTGAGAGGATAAAGAACTGTTGTCACACAACGGTAGAGAATCAAATACTGTTGTCACACAACGGTAGAGAATGAAGTGCTGTTGTCACACAACGGTTATATTTTTGAGAAACGAGCATTTGGTGAAAGGTTATTTGGCCGCATTCAGTCCATTTGGAATACTGGAAATCTTTGCGTGACTATTTTCGATTGAGCATCTGTTTGGAGCACATGTCACGCAATATCGTTGTATAGAACTATTTATAGCATGATCTGGTAACGCACAGTAAAGTAATGCAACTCAAGTCTTTGTTTCAACTTTTTCATCAACTGACGAATTCGAAGTTTGAAGAACTAAAAAGTGCTGTTATTTCCATTCGTATCGTGAGGGCATGGGTACAAGTGCCTCCATTATTGCCATGTTGAGACGAGGCTTCACAGACATTTTCTCATATGCAATATCAGATTGAATTGTGGGTAGGTCAGTAGATTCAACACCATATTTGGTCATAGGAACAAAAAAATCTTTTCTTGCTTCAAAATTGAATTACCGTTTGAATATACAAATATGTTATCTTTTTCGATGTTTTATCGCATTTTAAACTGTAGCCATTTATTGTTCCCTGCTCCATTTTGAAGGTAGCGTTTTCTTTGCATCGAAGCAACGACCGTTTAGCATAGAATGATAGATCAGGAGGAGCCGACGGGGCCTGTTCTTCTAAATTGACAATCTCACAAGAGAATGTGGCGCCCTTCCTTCTTTAAAATAATTTTAAAATATATAATTCTTAAAGCCGATTTAGACGGTGCGACTTTTGCCTACAACTATCGCATGCAACATGCCTAAGTCATCCTTACAACGTGGCTAAAACTGTCGTAGGGTTATCAAACAATTGTTTTTAATCTCTACGACAGTCGTAGCCATGTTGTAAGGATGACTTACACACAGATTGCTTGCGATTGTTGTGTGGCAAAAGTTGTACAGTCTATAAATCAGCCTTTAGAAAGTATTCCTTGCCTGGAGAGTTCTTTTTTCCTGAATTTCTCTCTGGCAACCAGTGACTTACAGATGGCTGGGACATAAGAACAGATATATTTCTTCCGTCGGCTCCTCCTAATACCTCAATCGAATGGCTTCAATGCACAAATTTTTCAAGATGGGATTTGTACCCATGCTCTGGTGATACGAAAGTCGATAATTCTGCGCATTACCATAAATAATAGATTACAAAGATATAATACACTCAGCCGTGTTTATATGCATCCAGAAGACCTAACTAACCATCAACAGCAACCTTGAGTAATAACTAGAGACGTGATAAAGTTGTACCATAGAGAAACGTCAGTTATTTATTTCCTTAAAACTGGATAATATATCCTTGTCGTAGACAATGTCGTTCTTGTGTGAATATAGATGTACATTCTCACACTATTTTGGTCGAAACAGACGGACTTGGTGTCCCGATATGCGGAGCCAACTTCAATTCATGGGCTATAAGCTCTAAGGTCGGAACTCTGGGGTGTCGAAACAACGTCATTATACGAGAGGACCTTTGAAAACAAGTTTATTTGCACCATTTCATTATGACGTCACATAAACATTCTATTGCTTTTAACGCTAAGGATTATGGTGGTCGCCATGGGGGATCAAACTGACTGCATATCAAATAAATTGTACATCTTCGCCGCATGGATCATATCAAAACCTCGACAATTTGAAGTTTTAATTTCTGAGGGAATGTAAAGTGACCGGCTAAGCCATATTTCCAGTGTTTTTGAGCATCTTTCTCCGATACATACATACTGTGACGTCATTATGAAATAGGGAAATATCCGGTTTGTGAATTTTGACTCAGTAGTCTCACACAAAGGAATCAAGACGATGCGCCGTGCATGAAGCTCATTCATTCGTGAAAAGACAAAGTTTTTCACAATTGACTGAGCTTTATGCACGGCAACTCGTCTTGATTCTTGTGTTTGACTACTGAGGCGAAATTCGCAAATCGGCTATTAGACGTACATGTGTGTCGTACACACATGACGTAAAGGAGCTTTCTTCGCTTTGGCCTTTGCAGCTGCAACTCATAGCGATCGGTTGTCAAAGGGTGGTCCGTTTTACACCTGATACTGGTGTCTTGACAACCAATGAATAAATGAATTCCTTTATCATAATGATARTGGTTATGACTTCAAAATTCATCAACTGAGTTCTAGATCACTCGTCTATAAACAAAATCCCAGAAAGATGTTCGCCAGCTTAATAAAAGAGGACATAGTTTGGACAGTAAGTACGCATTCTATATTTTGCCATTTAGTTTTAGCTTTCGTCTGTCAACATTTGATATATAATTTGTTAACTTTTTGTGGGGAAAAATTGTATATATATTATAAAATCGATCGTTATGAAATAGTCATAGTTTCAGATCGGACTTTATAGGTTCTAGCTCCTGAGAATTGAGCCTTTTATAAAAAGGGACAATTCTTATAGAAAATGTGCACATAGTTTTGATCAGATGTGGTGTTCACCAGTATAATTTTTAAAAGTATGGGTTTTTCAGGTTCGTTGCGTAATAAGCTTTCCAACTGATTTGCCCAACTTTTCTAACAAATAGAGTTGAATTGCGGGGTTTTTTAAATCTTTCTTTGACGATTTTACAATGAAAAATACGTAAAGAAAAAACACAAAATTTAAACAATTTTTTAAACAAATTAATTAAATCAAATTAAACATTTCATTTTCGCAAAGTTTTTTTATTATTTTCAATCAATTCTTTTATTCCATTGTCAGAGTACGTCACGCAAAAGTAAAATTTTTTCAAAGCTATTTTCGAAACCGCAAATTTATTTATTATCCGAAAAGGCTCGGACCACCGAAACTGACAATCGTGCAGGAAACGTGACCGTGTCGACCGTCGTGATATTTCGCAAAATCCGATGTTTGATATTTAAACAAGAATATCCGTGTCCCATGGCAGCGTTTCGTATTCAAACTCGAGCTTTGAACAACGAGAATTGGTTCTTGAACCTTACTTTTGGATAAAAATATTAAGTTTATTACGCAATTTATTAAGAGGAATTTAAATTGCTGTTCTATATTTCTTAATTTTTGTTAATTTGTTCACACTGCAGTGATGAGGCTGTGACAATGAAGTTCGTTCTTGTGATCTTCATTTTGACAAAAGCAACTTGGTCGTTGGGTTCTTCTCCATTCAGAGGGAGCTGCAAGAGAGAAGCCGTTTTCAAAAAGAAAGATCCAGGTATTCTACCAATCTGACTATAATTCACTCATTAACTCGCTCAATGAAGTGACTTACTTGTTTTACAGACAAAGCTTTGACCAATCACCTGATCACTACYCTTGACGTCACTTCCGCTTCAGACTGCACGTTGGAATGTCTTGAGCACCCAAAATGCGTTTCATACAATTTGCAGCAAACAAATTCACCAATCAAAAAATGTGAGCTGAGCGACCAAGTCAAGGCCTCAAAACCAGCTGATCTGGTCAGCAGACCTGGTTACAGTTACCATGACGCCCAAGACTTCGTGAGTATCCTAACCTTGCGTGGTGCCCAATCCCCTTCTGCTATCGCCTAGGGTCGCTGCGCTAGCTACAATCTTTAAAGTTAATGGAACAAACAGCATGAGCCCTTTCCCCTACCACCTCTACAACATATTTGCCCATGACAATGCTTATCACTTGTTCATTGTTTTTATTCTGTTCTCTGATTGGTCCGGAAAGAGGGTTCATTATTTCAGCGGTAAAGTCCGCTTTCGAGAGAGAAATTCCAGCAACGGTCGCGATCATTTAGTTTTTAAGGACTTTAATTAAAAATTTTCAAGTCATGTAGTAAAACACGCGTACGTTGAGATGTTAGGGAACACAAAGAAAGGCCTTAAAAACTAAATGATTAAAATGGGTATATTCCTTCAGGTTTTGTCGGTATGCATGTCATCTCCATGTAAGAACAATGGTAAATGCATCGACGAGTGCAGGAATGATTACACATGTGAATGTACCGATGGTTACATTGGTGAGAACTGTCAGACCTGGATAGGTAGGTGGCGCTTGATTAAGCTACTTGAGCTATATCAATTGTTAACAAAACAAACAATGTTCATTAATTCTAGGGTTAAATGGTACAAAGCCCAATTTTGCCGGTAAATCTTGTTGGCATATCAAAATGTTGACCTATTTAGATGCACCTGATGGGAAGTACTGGCTCAACCCGACTAACACAGGAAACCCATTTCATGCTATTTGTGATATGACTACCGATGGAGGTATAAACCAATCGTCCTTGCTTTTCTCGATAACTTCTTTGCTTCATTCCCTTGCTTTCTATCTTCTTTTCCTATTTTATTTCCGCTGCTTCCTTCCTGTTGCTTGCTTACTTTATGTTGATTTATTACTTGTTTGCCGCCTGCTTGCCTGCTTCCTTCCTTCTTGGTCATTTTCATCCGTTTGTGAAACAATTACTATTAGAAAGTGTATAATAGTAATTACTAGTGTAGTAGGCTACCAAAAGGCAAAATCAAAACCGTTTTTGCCTAATTTGTTTGTTGCATGTCAAGTTAAACTATTTGAAGCTAATAGGGGGTAGTAGTATTTATACTTAATAGTACAATTCCTATTTCACAGACGGATGAAAATGACTCTACCTTTGATTTCCTTCAGGTGGATGGCTTGTTGTCAAGAACACAACTTTAACATCTTCTTCACCTCCTGCTGGTGTTAATAAATATGGTTACCGATCGCTTGAATTTTTCGAGAATAATAATCTCCTTCATGGTTCCGGTCTCTCCAGCTTAAAGAACGACATGGGTTTTACTCAGATACGATTCTACTGTAAAAAGAAACAGGTTAATAGAGTTCTCCATATTATGACGACACAAGACGACTTGGGATATGCAGCTGTAAGGTAAATTCTTTCTTTCTTTTGCCTTGTTGCCTGACTAGAATAAAAAAATGCGCTTTATTAATGGAATTAAAGCGATAAGAATACTCCAGTTTCGAGTCGTACTTGTGCAGCCTTAAACCTCGAAAGCATGTAATACATTCTCATTGTTCGGCAGAGAATCTATTGTATTGCAAATACTCTGTGTACAAAGAAGACAATAAAAATGCATACTTGATTGAAGCTAACCTTGCACAAAAGAGAATTCGAGTATTCTCGTTATGATCTATAAAACGGTGCTACAGCCAAATTCACCAAGTAATGTTGGAAAGCTCAAGAGCTCTTTGCTTCTTCTCCATGGAGTGATTTATGCATCTAGGGAATGAATGAATAAGCCTTTTATATTATAAAGCAAAGTTGCATGTGCATCTGTTATCAATGGGAGCCCTGTATTCCGTTTTGAGGTCTTGCACCCTCGAATACTGCCTTCTTTTGTGACTCCATGCACTGTCAGCATTTTTTGGTGCACACGAATATTACTTGTGAAATGTTTCATAGATCTTTAGCAACATAAATGAAAATACATTTCCAGATATTTGGCGGTTTCGAATTCTCCATTTGGACCAACTGCTTGTAATTCTTTCACTCGATTACCCGACGACACATCTCGACTGTCACAAAACTGTGCAAAGTGGGGCTACAAGAACGGCGCGATKGAGGGAAACCACTGGGGACATAGTGGAAATACAGGACAACACCGTATGTACAACAGAGTTATCGTATGGTCTGGAAAATATATGCTGTTTATGGGGGAAAAGTACTGTTGCGACGATATTGACCAAGACCACAATCATTCAATCGGGGACACGTATAAAATGTTCGTTCGGTAGAATTATCGTTTCATTTACTGTGGGTTGGGTAACCTTTCCACAGAAATAAAAGTTAAAATGCTAGCACAAGGAGTCTAAATCCAATAATATTTCAAACTCGTTTGAACTTGCCTAGAAACTAGGACATGTTTCTTTTTTTTTTTTGCTTGTTTTTTAATTGTGTTTCAAAGGAAGACTTCTTGAAACAAGGAATAAAGTTCAAGAAATGAAGTCAGGAATTAGATATTTGTAGTGTAGTGTAGTGTAGTTTTGAAGGGGTTCCTAAAATTCCAGTTTGAGCAACGGTTGACTATAGCGAAGGGCAATTCAAGACTTTCAAAAATGGAGCAATATGTCACGGTCGCTGACCAGGGCACTGGGGACGAAGCACTAAAACGAGGTCTCAAAGTCCAGTCTCCATAGTAAACTTCGATGGTGTCTTTCAAGAGTGTTTTTTAACAAATAATACCAATACATATTTCAAACTTTTGGACACTACCACACATGCGATCTTGGTAGTGACTTCTTTGTTGAAAGGCCTTTGATGTCACGTTTCCATGAGTCGTCACAAGTTCTCCGATATATTGGCGGTCGTGAACTACCGCAATTTTTGAAAGTTTGAGCCTCGGTAAGGTCGAGAAATTGAATTTTATGAGTACGATAGAAATTTGACATTGAATTTTGTCAGAAAATATGCATCTTAAGATGATGTCATACTGTGCAACTTTTTATTTCAACTTTCCATTGCAATTTTGTGGCCGAGGCACGCTGGGAGCAAAAATAGAGATGGCGGACATTCGAGAAATTGCGCATGCTCGCATACGTGCGAGAATATTGCATTTTAATGCAAAAAAACGTTTCTTGAAAGGTAATGAACGGTGCAGTGATTTGCAGGTTGCTGGAATCCGTCGCGAGAAGTATATCTGAGTCCAACATCGTTTAACGCTACTCGCAACCAAAAAGGTTGCGAGACTACCCTTAATGACACTGTGCAATTCTTCAGCAACTTGTGAAAAATCAATTATTTTTCGCACTATACAGTTTTAAATACATTTTAGAGAGAATGTATAGGATCATTGGCACTTTTACCACCTTTTAAACTTAAGGATTTGAAGTGAAACAGTGAAAAACAACTCCACTTACTGAGCTAACCGGTTGTGGGTTGATGTTTGCGTGTGTTTGTCCTTGCCTTTTTTTGCTTTTTTCTGTTTTGGATTATTTGTTTTGTTTTGTTTTCTTGATATTTGATACTTGGGATGTCTTTCTTTTCGAAAGTACGTCATACAGAGAAAGGATCATTACAAACTTAATTAGACACATGACGTCAGACAGCTTAMCTCACTTTGGAGCTGCAATTCTTGATGTCGTCTTAGACACACCTGCTGATACTGTTGTCATGACAACCAATGAATTAATGAATTCCTTCACAATGGTTTAGACTTCAAACTTCTAGATCACTCGTCTAAACAAAATCCCAAAAAGGTCGGCGTTTGCGAGCTTGATGATGAAAGAAAACTAAAGAAACTTTCCAACGGTGAGTAACATGAATTAATTTTCAGTTTTACTCATATTTTTAGGTTTCTTCAGTGAAAATGAATTGATGAATTTCTTAACTTCCAAAACTAAAAAACAAAAAAAAAACAAAGTTTTGTAATATGTCATAGTTTCAGACCATGCAGAACCTGTGCGAATTTCAAAACAAAAGCCATTTTAAGCTAAGTTTACGACTTTTACACATATAAAAACATTACTTTCGCTTCCTTAAATATTCTAACTCATTTTTCAGGAAGAATTCATCAATGATAGAGTCATTTGTTTACAACAGGCCGATTCTTCAAAAACATTTCCCATTTGATACAAAATGGATGTAAATAGGTGTTGATATGAACATTTCAGTATAATTTACAAAATGGACGATAAAAACATTGATCTCTTAGGCCAAACGCTTGTTTTTATAGTTTCGTTAAATTGGTATAATTAGGCACTTTTCTCATTAATATTAATGACATCACTGTCGTCGTCAATTATTGTATCCAGAGATCACCATCTCAAATAATAGTAAAATAAAATTTGTTTTAAGTCAATTTGGGCGCATGTTATATATTCTTTTTAACGATTTTGGGTACAGAAAAGGTTTCTTTTTAAGTTCTCTTCGACAAAAGCATTTTTAGTTTCCTTTCTGCTATTTTTTATGTCTTTTAATATTCCTTTAATCCATTGTCAGTCCGTCACGCAAATTTTAACTTATTTTTTTTTAACAAAAAGAAAAACAAAGAAAAATCTCTGGCCATTTATTTTCATCGCTTGAACAAGTCCATCGTATCCTGATATTTTTGAAAAGACTATGTGGTTTTAAAAATGTACCCGTRTTTTGCCTCTTTTTGTCCATATTATTACATTCTCACTTTAATTCTTACACCGGTATTTTCTATGCTCTTTTAAAATTAAACACAAGACAAGATATCAATAAATTTCATTTTGCTTTATGGGGCGGGTTATACGAATTATCCACTCTGACATAGATTTATATGACTTTATCATAAGGATTTTTAAAAAGTGCTACTTGCATGAAAATGCCCTTATTTCACAGCTTCAAGCAATAGAAATATATGATTCATTTATATCTATTAAAAATAATGGCGGGAAAGCTTTGTTTAGGAATATCCCACATCAGAGAAATTTTGATTCAAAAGATGGAAGAACAAAAGGATGGAGTAAATGCCGTCATCTACTCCAACATTTTTTGCCCAAATTATTAAGGATTTRTATCWATATCTTCTTGAAATCTGTTGCTTCATGATTATTAGACACATATGGATAGGTCTATTTGATTTCCAAGTCTTTTCTAATGTTTCGCAATTTTTGTCCAAGTAGCTCTTTAATTATCCGTAGGCCGATAGCGGTATTCACGCTTCGTACAATCGACCACTTTTGTGTTCATTTCTGCCACCATTTGTTACAATTTCAATCATCTTGATAATGAAAACGATTTATTTGATATAAACATGTTGGTTGCCTAATTAAAGAGGCAAATGAATTATAAATATTAAATAATCTTTTTAAGTTAAGTCACGAAAAGACCTTTTGAAAGAACGAGAATACAATTTTGAAGTTTAGATAAGTTATTAAATTMATTTTAACGAATTAAAGTTGTTGCTTTATTCCTCACAATTTTAGTCTGTTTTCACTGCAGTGGYGAGGTTACTAAAATGAASTTATTTCTTSTCGTCTTCTTCACTTTGACAACTCGGTCGTTGGGTTCTTCTCCATTCAGAGGAAGGTGTAAGAGAGAAGCCGTTTTCAAAAAGAAAGATAAAGGTATA